AAAGGCCCAAGCGTTAACCTTAGCCAATCAACTAGACAGATGTGGATAGAGAGATTCGTAGTATCAAATTTCATGGTATGGTGTCCACATCGCTTGAATATTGGACTTTGTAAAAAGATTCCCGAGTTGACTGATGGTTATTAATGATGATTATGAACTGATTATGATTGGTAGCGGGGGTACTTCGCTTCGCAGAGTACGTTCCAAAGGCCGTATTACCTGTTGCCTAGTGGTGTGCGAATAGTGAATTTCACAACCGTATTGCATACTAATCAAATATTGACAACACCGAATCAAATGCTAATCGAATATCGACGACACTGAATTCACTACGATTCGAATATTGACGACACTGAATCGAATACTGTTCGAATAGTTTTCGAATAGTAAGCAACAATGATCATTACAGGTCTAGAGTGAAGAGGGGACAATCTTCAAAGTGGCCCAACTAGAGTTCTCGAAGTATTACGTAACTGCACGCTGAATGAAATATAGCAGTGACTACAGCATGCGGAGATGCACTTCGTCAACAGCTTTTGAATAAAACTCATCATCAGCATCATCACCCTGACTAAGCCCAATGCAGGACAAAGGCCTCTCCTATTTTCTGCCTGTCAACTAGGTCCTGTGCTTGCTGCTGCTACGTTTTACCCGCAAACTTCATAACTCATGTGCACACCTAACTTTCTGTGTCCACCTCAGCCGCATGCCTTCTCTTGGAATACAGTCAGTTGCCCTTAATGACCAGTGGTAATCCTGCCTACACGCAACGTACTCAGCCCATGTCCATTTATTATTCTTGATTTGCGCTCGTACTGAAATATACAATTTTCTATAATTAACAACATGAATGTCATATGAAAGACAGATGATTGCTGGTACTGTTGCTACGGTGACGCCGGAGTTTGAAGCAAAACGCCTTCATCCTGTGATCAACATGGCGTCTATAGTAAGCACGTGGGCTGCAGCATCAATATGTGTAATACCGTGATGAAAATCAGAAAAGCTACCCCTTGTTGTTCCCACGTCCAATTCCTTCGACCAATTTTCGTCGCCACTCATTATTAAAAGGGCCCCTAAAAACTTTTCGAGTAACCATGACATTAATTCACTGGAAAAGCGTATTGCCTCAAAAAATCAACGCCGCAAAAATTTTAAGAATTTGCTCCGTAAGAGCGGAGTTACAAAGATTTGTCACACGCTGCAATCGCATTCTCTCTTTTCTCGTCCCGATGAAAGCACTGGAAGCTAAGCAGGGAGAGATGGGAGGGGCAAACAGAAAACGTCACGCGTGCCTCCTGACTTTGAGTACTTTTTTTTTCCTCTAATGCGCGGGTTTCTCAGTGTGATCGCGCGCGCATAGATGGATGAATGGATTGATATGGCTGTACCCTTTAGATCGGACGGTGGCTAACGCCACCAAGCAGTCATACTTAGTGAACCAAAAACTAGATTTATCTTTTTTTTTTCTCTTTAAATAGTGAGGTTGAGGACTGGCACTTTGCAGTGAAGGGTTTAATTTTCACTCGTGCCTTGACTTTAGCCACCAATAAGATAACCTACTTCTAGTTCTACCCGCTTAATGTCTATTTTGCCCTCCCTGTCCCTAAACCCGAGTGCTTTGAAAAACTCTGCGCCATCATCCTCAACTACAGGGTGAAGCCCTTTACAGAACATTATCAAGTGTTCGGCAGTTTCCTCTTCCTCTCCACACGCACTGCATACCGTGTCTACCCCTTCACATTTGGCCCGATATGTCCTGGTTCGCAATACTCCCCAACGTTACTAGATCCTGGATCTAGTAACGTTGATACTCCCGTCCTCGCGTAGACGAGTAGTGGCCTCCCGTGGTGATCTCTGTAACGACCGAGCGCGCCATGTTCAAACCAGCCAATGGCTGATAGATAGGCTTACTACGATTGGGTTTCGGGCTTTTTCCGTGATTTGTAGAGATAAGAGAAAGAATTTTTTAGTTGGCTTTGATAACTTATTCTTTGCCCCGCCGCGGTGGTCTAGTGGCTAAGGTAGTCGGCTGCTGACCCGCAGGTCGCGGGCTCAAATCCCGGCTACGGCGGCTGCATTTCCTATGGATGCTGAAATGCTGTAGGCCCGTGTGTTCAGATTTGGGTACACGTTAAAGAACCCCAGGTGGTCGAAATTTCCGTAGCCCTCCACTACGGCGTCTCTCATAATCATATGGTGGTTTTGGGACGTTAAACCCCACATATCAATCAATAAATCAATCAATAATTTATTCTGAATTCCACGACGCGTGCTGCGCATAATATTTGGCTCGCGTGTTGTCGGCAGCCTCTACTGCCGATCGGCAGTGTTTTCTGACGATACTCAAAAAGTGTTGCAGGGTCCTTTTAAAGAACTATTCGAAAAATATTCGGTATTTCGGATATGCGTATCAAATTTGAGTACCGAATCGAAATGAACGCCATTCGATTTGCTATTCAAACTTTTCTAATATTCTGAACTAGCAGGGATGGCTCGGCGAGTCGACGGAAGTTCATGTTCGAAATAAGCGTCATAAAAACACAACATACAGGTACGTCGCCCTGTCTTTTCCGTGCCTTCGGGTGGCGTTCTTTTTTTTTTTTTCGCGCTTTTTCGAACATGAATTTCGAGCATTCGCTCCCCCCTACTATTACCCGACTCCTTATGGCTTCGGAAGGTCGTTTCACTTTTTGTTTTATTCTAAAAGGTACTGAAACGAAACTTTCGAGTAACGCGCTCAGGTGTTCTAGTGGTTTAACCTGCTCGACTGCTCACCCGAAGGTAGCGGGATCGAATCTCGGTCGTGGAGGCCGCATTTTCAATGGAGGTGGACGTTCAAGAAACCCAAGTGATGAAATTTCTGGAGCCTTCCACTGCAGCGTCTCTCATAATCATATCGACGTATTCGTACGTTAAACCCAAGCAATGACTATTCTAGAAAGTTCTGAGAGTTTCTTTTTTTGCGCCAAATTTTCTTTTTTTTTGGCCACGCCTTTCAGAGTCTAAAAAGTTGTACTTATAAGCATGGATAGAGGCCGAAAATGTAATTACATAATGTTTAAAAAAATGGCTTTGGTTCCTATTGTTCCTTGACGTCATAACTCAGTATATGGGCTTTACCTGACGTCATTCCAACTAGCTTTACTGTCCATCTAGTGTCTATGTCAGTAGGCTTGCCACAAGGGAATTCACTTTAAGGTGGTAATAAAATGCCCTGTTTGTACTTTCTGAGCTTCGCAATTGCTTAGAGCCTTTTCTGTTTACTTGTATGACAGAGTGAACTCACCATCGACGAATGGAGTCAATGGTTCCTGTTATTTTTACAACGTTCTGATGTGGGATAGGCCCAGCAACGTAATTAAATGACCCGGTTTGAACGTCAGACTTCCCAGAAGATTCAGCTAAAGACACACACATGATATCATAACCCTATAATTAGGACTTGTAAAATGTAAATATACTTAGATAAAAAGAAAGAAGCTTATATGGAAATGTGCTTACGTTTCAGCGCATCTTTAAATGACAATGTACGTTAGGCGTGCAGAATTAATCAGCTCACTGGGTGCAGTTACTTGAACGTAAATTTCTTATGAAGGTCGTGTAAAAAAAATCGGGTCAGAAGTGGGATTCGAACCCACGCCCGGAAGACCGGACTGCGACCTGAACGCAGCGCCTTGGACCGCTCGGCCATCCTGACCACACGATGCTAACGGGAACTTGGCAAAATACTGACTGAATATTTCTTAAAATTTCAGTGGTGTTTTCAAACGTGGAAGTCTATGGAGGAGGCTAGTCTGTTCCAAGGCGTCTTATCTCAGATACAGCCATTTTTGCGCCGACCTTTGCAAGCGGATTCGATAACACCCACCATTGCGATTGCGCGTGCGCAACGTGCTCATGTCACTTCACTAATGTCTTTCTTTACAAGATGGCTTGCACTGACGTCCCTGAAACAGCCATGCTGGAGCACCAGCATGTACTGATAAGACATTTTTGATGTCACATTAACGCTACCGAAACATCACATGTAGCTTCTTTCATTATTCATGCACAGAGACATTCCTTCCGCGACGTTTTCTCTCAGATGCAACTTGTTTCTCATCAAATCCGCCATCCTGGAGTCCCAGTTCCTTTCAGAAGCTGCGTCCGTGACGTCATGCGCTTAGCAGTAGATATATAAAAGCGTCCACTTGTCTTGGTGGCGGCTTCTCGCAGTTCATTCACTAACTAGATGATGGACAGGGTGGGGATAATTTGGAGGAACTCTCGTATTGTGGTATGCACGGAATTAGGGAATTAGGCTGATGATGATTACGGTGGCCATATAGAGTTTTCTATCATTACACTAGAGGGAACTCCGACACTATAGTGTCTCTGAAAGCTGCAACGTATGGCGCCTAAGTGAGCACGGGAATTATGGGTAGTACATGGATTTGCCTAATCTTAGTTCGAATCTGGTCACGGAGTTCAAAAGGGTTAGTTCTTTCATTCGAAACAAAACCGAAACACAGCAATAAACGAAGCCACAATTGGGATTCGAGGCCCGCAAGTACACGAAGACTAAGCTGATTCATACACATAGGCCCGTATTCACAAATCACCCTCAACATTACCTCGAGTTTTTCTTCTTGTTTTTAAGCCTTTATTGCGCTTGATGAGCAGAGTAGGTCAGTACACATTAACCAATATCGTTGTTCTTTCTTACCTTATTACATTTCTGTGCCCTTATAACGCACGTGTAGAGTACAGGTACTTGAGGAAAACGTGAGGTAAGGCCAAGGTTGGTTTGTGAATACGGGCCTGAATTCCCGTGGTCGCTGAATGATCGCAGTGCCACAGTCCCCTCTAGTTAACTTTAGGAAACTCTATAATGGGGACGATGCTTGATAGGTTCCGAGATCTTGTTTTGCGGAGCGGGGTACACTATAACACTTTTTGTGTGCTCTTATTATTGAGTTAATGTGTTTGTTGATACAGCTATGCTTATTTGTGTGCAGCCCTTATCGTCCGGCTCCTGACACGACGCTTCATCCACGAGTATGACCCCAGCCTCGGTGAGTAGAACGCGGGTATCGCCAGTGACGGGGCAGTATAGAGCGCCGCTTCAACGTATCAATTCTTTCGCATCTATTTTCAGGCGAAAACTGTAAGTGACCAGGCCATTCGTGACTCCGATAGGTCAAAATTCTCTGGTCTAGAAAAAAAAAAAAAACCTAGTGCAGGTTTGGAGCACAGAAATTGAGCGTATCCAATATACTCACCACCGGCCCTGGTCCGCTAAAATAAAGAAAAAAAATGACTTAATGAATAGAGAGAAATAAATAAAAGGAAGAGACAGTGAGGTTAACCTAAAATAACTGGTTTGCTAAACTGTACAAGGGGGAGGAAATAAGGGTCGGAAAGAGGGTAGAGGGATATATATAAAACAAATTAGAAAAAAAATTCACATGCACACGCATGCACACACATGCATGGCGTTCCGATCACAGTAACCTATTGAATAAAGGTGTGAATAATTAAGCGGCTGAAGAAATCAAATAAATTGGCAAGTAACCTCCTTGGTGTACCACGGAGATCAACTAACAGAGCATATGCCCAAATAAAGTTTGTAAGTAAATCTTGGAAAAGAAATGACGAACTAAAATAAAAAAATGACGAAGAGACTTGCAAATAAATAAATAATTAAATAAATAAATAAATAAATAAATAAATAAACAGATGGAGCACTGTACTTTTGGCTCACGCAAGTCGAAACGAAAGCGTATTTGAAAATTCTCTGCCCTTCCTGTACCTTCACTCAATATGCTCTGCTACCGTTGCCGCTGTGCTGAGTGTCTGACTGATTCGCTGATCACCCGTCTTCGAAGAATGGAGTGGCTCGCGAGTTTATTCTCGAATCGCCAGCAGTGCGTAGCAGGCCGACTGACGCGATAACGTAGGCGGGGCATCGCGATTGTTGTGGTGAATGACGGAGTGCCAAAAGCAGCCTCAATAGAAAATTATTTTGGCAGTAAGGCGGTACGAGAGTTACTGTTGTTAAGACGTTTATTGGCGAACACTCGTTGATGATCCACGACAGCGACAGTCAATGCGGGGACCGACTCTCTGCACGAGCTGCTCTTCTTCTTATGAAAAGGGCGACCCACTGTTCGAAGGCTTTGCCACAACTACCCCGGGTACGAAAAAGGGAGCCGCCTGGGGACCTTACAGTTGGTTACAACGAGTGGGTCATGGTAGGCTTTGAGGCGCTCCACGTTAACAATGTCGCGTCCTCTACGGCGCATGTCCGAAGATGGTGCGATTGGTTCAATCAAGTAGTTTACAGGGGAAGTGCATTTGACGACACGGTAGGGGCCTTCGTATTTGGGCAATAGTTTTGAAGATAGCCCCGCCGCGGTGGTCTAGTGGCTAAGGTACTCGGCTGCTGACCCGCAGGGCGCGGGTTCGAATCCCGGCTGCGGCGGCTGCATTTCCGATGGAGGCGGAAATGTTGTAGGCCCGTGTGCTCAGATTTGGGTGCACGTCAAAGAACCCCAGGTGGTCTAAATTTCCGGAGCCCTCCACTACGGCGTCTCTCATAATCATATAGTGGTTTTGGGACGTTAAACCCCACATATCAATCAATCAAGATAGGCCAGTTGCAGTGGTAGGGATCGAGAGCCAGACGAGTGCTCCAGGGAGGAACGTGGGATGCAGTAGTGCTGGCGTCAGCGCGAATGCTTTTTTTCCGCCCTTGATCGTGCGCAGTAAAGGTCTTTGCAAGCTCTCGACACTTTTCAGCAAGCTTGGCTGTAGCAGAAATAGGCGCCCACTCAGATGGATCTGGCTTGTACGGAAGTATCATGTCGATGGTGTGCGATGGGTGCCTTCCATATAATAAAAAGAAAGATGAAAAATTCAATGGTGCACTGAGGGGCGGTATTATATGCGTAGGTGACGAAGGGTAGAATGGAATCCCAATTTGTGTGATCGGCGGCGACGTACTTGGAGAGCATGTCGCCGAGCGTACGGTTGAAGCGTTCGGTGAGGCCATTCGTCTGCGGGTAATAGGCAGCACTTTTAAGTGAACAACGTTGCACTCTTTAAGAATGACTTCAACGACTTCAGACAGGAAGACGCGGTCTCGGTCACTGAGCAGTTCCTGGGGTGGACCGTGTCGCAAAATGAATCGGTGGAGCAGAAAGGAGGCCACATCGCTCGCTGTTGCCGCGGGAAGAGCGGCCGTTTCGGCGTATCGCGTGAGGTGGTCCACAGCGACAATGGCCCAGCGGTTATCAGCCGACGTCAGTGGAAGTGGCCCATACAAATCGATGCCAACGCGCCCAAAGGGTCTGGCAGGGCAAGGTAGAGGCTGCAGACCTACCGGTGACAGGTGCGTTGAAGCTTTTCGGCGCTGACAATATATGCAAGAACGAACGAATTTCGGCACGTAGCGGTACATGCCGCGCCAAAAGTACCGTTGGCGAATGCGGTGGTAAGTTTTCGATACCCCGGAGTGCGCACAATGCGGATCGGAATGAAAGAACTCGCATATGTCAGAGCGCATACTGCGAGGTATGACTAGTAGCCACTGGCGGCCGTAACCGTTGTAATTGCGCCTGGGGAGGAGGTCGTCGCGAACGGCGAAATGATGGGCTTGACGACGCAACGCGCGAGTGGATGGAGTGGATGGATCAGCCAGCAAGTCTATCAGTGAGGCGATCCATTGATCCTTGCGCTGTTCATTAGCAATGGTATGAATGCTAATGGAAGAAATGGCAAGGTGAGACGCTGAGTTGTGGGCATTGTCGTGAGGCAAGGGAGAGCGTGACAGGGCGTCGGCATCAGCATGTTGCCTTCCATTGCGGTACAGCACGCGGATGTCTAAGTCTTGCAGGCGGAGTGCCCACCGGGCGAGACGGCCTGAGGGATCTTTCAATGACGACAACCAGCCTAGTGCGTGATGGTCGGTGACGACATCAAATGGGCGACCATACAAATAAGGTCGGAACTTTGTAAGGGCCCAGACGATTGCCAAACATTCCTTCTCGGTGACGGTGTAATTAGTCTTGGCCTTAGTAAGCGTACGGCTTGCATACGTCACGACATATTCCGGGGACCCTGGTTTGCGCTGCGCAAGGACAGCGCCAAGGCCGATACCACTGGCATCCGTGTGTACCTCTGTAGGGGCCGTAGGGTCGCAGTGGCGGAGTATGGGAGGCGACGTCAACAAACGACGGAGCGTTGTGAAAGCGTCGTCGCACTGTGATGACCACGAATGGAGAGGCCCGTTACTTCCGAGGAGCATCGTCAGCGGCGATATGATAGTCGCGAAGTTTCGAATGAAGCGCCGAAAGTAGGAACACAGCCCTACGAAACTGCGCAGTTCTTTGACGGATGTCGGCTTGGGGTACTCGGCCACGGCCCGAAGCTTAGCTGGATGAGGGAGAATTCCGTCCTTGGACACGACGTAGCCGAGTATTGTCAGCTGCCGAGCTGCAAATCGGCACTTCTTTAGGTTCAGTTGCAGACTGGCGTCACTCAGACGTGTTAAAACATGCCGTAGGAGTTGAAGATGCGTCGAGAAGTCCGGAGCGAAAACGACGACGTCATCGAGGTAGCACAGGCACGTGTGCCATTTCAGGTCACGCAGAACAGTATCCATCATGCGCTCAAAGGTGGCGGGCGCATTGCTCAGCCCAAACGGCATGACGTTGAATTCGTACAAGCCGTCGGGGTTGACAAAAGCGGTCTTCGGTCGAGCGTCCTCAGCCATAGGTACTTGCCAGTACCCTGAGTGCAAATCGAGGGATGAAAAGAATTCTGCTCCTTGCAGGCTGTCAATCGCGTCATCTACCTGTGGTAGTGGGTACACGTCCTTACGAGTGATCTTGTTAAGGCGCGGGCGTCCACACAGCACCGCACAGAACCGTCCTTCTTCGTGACGAGAACGACAGGAGACGCCCAGGGGCTGCTAGAGGGTCGAATAACATCACGGCAAAGCATGTCGTCGACATGCTCGTTGATTACATGGCGTTCTGTGGGAGATACGCTATATGGACGTTGCCGCAGTGGTGGCTGTGTACCTGTGTCGATGCGATGCGTAACGGTGGATGTGCGGCCGAGAGAAGGTTGGGCGACATCAAAAGAAGACCAGAACTCTTCCAACAGGCCCAGAAGCTGGGAACGCTGGCCTGGCGTAAGGTTGTCGGGAACGGAGGGACCGAATACATCATCGGATGATGAAGCAGATGTCGAAACAGCACTAAGCGTACTGGAACTTGAGCAGCGCATGTCATCGGGTCGATCCATAACTTGTTCCATAACTTGTTCGTCTTCGGTGGGTTCCACGCTGCCGAGACATTCCCCTCGCACCAACGTAACGCTGTACGGGGATGAGTTCACAACAAAAATAGTGGTGCTGCCGTGAGTGAGTTGCACGGTCCCACTGTTCGAAGGCTTTGCCACACTCTATATGTTATCATAAGGTAGCATATACAGTAACTATATGTGGTACAATCCATTTGGCGCGACATGGGATGCGTGCGTCTTGATGATAGTGATCATGAGTATAATAAGAACGTTAAAATTAATTGTATTGGTATAGATGTTTTAGAAAAAGCCGAGAAGAAAAGTAGAACTCACAGCCTGCCTAATTACGTTTATGAAAAACATCAGCTGATCGCAAAACCTTGCTTTGAAAGAAGAAACAATAAAATAATGTTCTGTAAGTTTCAACGCGGCAATGGGTTTTTCTCATGAAGGACTTCAATTCTACTAAGTTGACTGAACTGCCTAACTCCACTAGTTGATAATAAATTCAAATTTCCTAATTACTGTTTCGAATGATTTCTTCAACCCTCTTAAAATGCCTGCCACTACAGAAAGTACAACTTTGAAGACAGCGAGAAAAGAGTGTCTTTTCCTGATTTTTAAAGAATATTTGACACATTTCTTGAAACACCATCTCTATCGCACTACACACACACACACACACACACACACACACACACATATATATATATATATATATATATATATATATATATATATATATATATATATATATATATATATATATATATATATATATATATATATATATATATATATATATATATATATATATATATATATATATATATATATATACATATAATTGTTTTTTGACAAAGTATAAATGAGATCTAACAGACAATAATGCCAAGGAAAGTGTAGGAGAAGTTATTAGACTTAATTGTAATGTAAATGTGAAGAAAGAAAAGTGGGTGAAAAGATAACTTCCTGTGGGAAGGAACCGAACCTGCGACCTTTGAATAATGCATTCGATGCTCTACCACTGAGCTACCACGACGGCCATCTTCCCAGCCACTTTATTTGGTATATATGTGAATTTAAACGTGGGAGGTGTCAGTCAGCGCCCTCAGTTGGCATGGCGGCGAGTGTGGCACACTATGAGCATATGTGGCGCCACGTAGCACGTGAACATATTACGAGCTGGCAGCTGACCAATGGTCCCTCGTATACAACCTAAGGCACCAAGTTTGCTAGTACGAGACCCTCGTTAATGAGTAAGGGAAACAAGTGTATACTTAAGGGCGTTACTTGAAGGTCGCCGGTTCGGTTCCTGCCCGTGGCAAGTTATCTTTTCACCCACTTTTCCTTCTTCACATTTGCAATGGAATTTGGTCTAATAACTTCTACACAATCCTTGGCATTATTGTCTGTTAGATCTCATATATATATATATATATATATATATATATATATATATATATATATATATATATATATATATATATATATATATATATATATATATATATATATATATATATATATATATATATATATATTATATATATATATATATATATCCCCGTGAACACACAGAAAGATTAAATGAGTCTCCCCCTACCCCTAAACCTCTCTGGTTGAGCCGACTTTTTTTGCCGATTTTTCAATGAAGTAAATGTCTTAAAAGTCTGGTATTCCAAGGTGAGAGCGTCAATTATGCCTTTGAAAGTTTGCGAGCTAGCTTTCATAAGGGGAGGGGGGGTGGAGATTTGTTAAAGATTGGTGTTTTAGAGTTGAGTGCTTTATTATCGTCAAACGTGTGTGCGAATACGCGGTATGGTTTTCTTTGCTTGTTTGGGATCAATAATCTTGGTCACTTTCGCGGTCAAAACTACCGGCATCGTGCTGAAAACTTGTGAGTGGGTATTATTAGTGTTCTCATGTTGTATTTCTTCATGCGCTGTTCGCGACGAAAAACTGTTGGGCAGTGAGTTCCGTTGCAGCCAACATTCTGACAAGCACTCTTGTAAGAAAAACTTGTTGTTGGTCTATTCGGTTGCTCATCTAAAAAAAAAGTGCAAACGAATGACGCATGTTTATAGCTTATTTATGAACATGGGAATTCCTATTAGACTTGTTCGCATTACAAGAGTGAACGAGCGAGATAATTTATTCACAGACAGGCCGAGAGAGGTCGGCCTGAGCGATAGTATGCTCTGTCCTGCTACACTCTACACCCGGGAGGGGAAAAGGGAAGAACTGGAATGGATGACGACAGTGAGCTAGAGAGGTGAGTGCAGTCCCGGTATACTGACGCAATGCTATAGCCGCACACCCAGTCAGGTGTCTTGTTTGTACATTAATGTATAATTAGCTCGATAATTGAGCTCAAAGCGACGTTCGAGTCGGTCGTCGAGTACCATCACTATTAGACCGCCGTGGCAGGTTCACCTTTGAGTCGTCTGAGCCGAATGCGCGTTAAGAGCCTTATGAGTTTCCACATAAAAAAAAACTTTCCCGAATCTTCTTTTCTTTACCCAACTGGTACGCTCAACTGCGCCGTTTGTTCATTTCGTTTCTCCATACGGGAACTTCATTCTGGCAGTCAGCGTGTACCCCTTCACGATCGAAGACGACGGCGAAGCGCTCAGTCTGAACCTCATGGACACTGCTGGAAAGGCGAGTATTGTGCACGTGGGACTCTTTTTTTTTTTTCACTGGGAGTGGGAGCTTCGCTTTCTAGCTCTGATGACGAATTAGATAGCGGACCAATCACATTCTTTCATTTTGCCGCTGAAAACTTCATCACAGTGAACAGCAAGAAGGATGTCTTGGCATGCGGTATAGCGAAGGAACAATCTACACGCTTTAAGATTCGTTAGGGCTTCAAGGAATTCGAGATATTTTGTTCAGTGGTGGCAAGTAAGGGTAATTTGTTACACGTGACGCGTTTCCACGATAACTTGTGACGGTCGTTGGCGTGCGAAGACTGATCCCATCGCCTGGCGCCGTGTTCGCCATGTGTGGCGCGAACTGAGTATAAGCGGGGAAAGGCCTAGTGCTCCTATCGGGGGAGCCACAGCCAGTTTGCGCGCTCGGTTTCTGGCGCTGGAGCTTGGGAATGCTTGCGAAGCTCTGTGGCAGGCTGCAGACCCATGTTAAGCCTTTGAGATGGACCTGCCTCGCTTTCTCTTGAGCTTTACCAGTGCAAACAGTAATTTTATCGGAGCATCAGAGGAGGATGTGGGGGCTGGCAGAGCGCTGTGTGTCGGATAATTCGCGGGTCCGCCGCATATACTCACTGTGGCCTCGCGCCTCCAGCGCCTTCTGGGTGTAGCTTGCTCCTGTTTCTAATTTTAATTACCATGTGCTAATACTAATTCTTCGCGTTATACATCTCAGAAGCACGACATGATTACGAGGAACGTCGTAAGGGGAGTTCCCCGAAAAATTTCGATCACCTGGGGCTCTCTAACGTGCGCGCATATCTACGCACTCGGGCCTCAAGCATTCTAGCCTCATTCAGATACGTCCTCAACAAAACCAGAATGCAGAAAACCGGGCGGGGCCTCCACATCTCGCTACGTTTAGATCCACCGGCAACACACAACATTCTCCACCGTCTTCAATGTTACCGCCACCTACATTTTTTGCCCGTGAATTGTTGGTGTACCTGCGTAGACGAGAGCTAACGGACAATGATCCTCAGGAAAATATAGGTGATGCTATTAGAAGTAGCCGTAATGTAAATGTGAACTGCTGGCACACTTGATGTCTTCAGGCAATATGTGGGGAATCGTTGGTCAGCTCTCAACTTTTAATAAGGTCACGTTCTACGTGACGCCAACAGGCAAAAAAAAAAAGAGTGCTCCACACTCACCGTAATGGCAACAGGCGGCACCGACTGACGCTTCCACGTTCAAAGGCGCACTTATACCCTATAAAGTGGACGGGGGAGATGATCGCCACCGCAGCTCAGTGGTTATCTACGATGGGGAACCAATGAAGGTCGCTGGTTCGTTCCCTACCAGGGGCGAGTTTTCTTTTTGTGCAACTTTCTTTATTCATATTTTAATTACGATTGCTACTAATAACATCGCCTATACTTTTTTAGGCGTTCATTGTCCATTATAGTTTTCAATAATATTGGTGTCTAACAAAGAAAAACAGCCCCTGAATTTAGTACTCTACCTGTATAAAAAAAAAAAGAATTGATAACTTCGGCATCATCTCGGGCTTGCGACAACGCCCCGCTTCCGTTCGTGTAGTCCAGGCCGGAGCCTAGCGAGGTGGACTGGGGCGACGGCTTCCTACTGGTCGTGTCCCTGACAAGCCCAGAGTCGGTGCGCGCAGCCGAACTGATGCACGCCTGGCTGCAGGACAGTGCGCCCGGAAAACCTTTGGCGTTGGCAGCTACCAAGAGGGACCTCGTGCAGGTATACATACCTTGCCTAGCAGTATACTCTTTGGGAATGTGTTGGCAGCTACCAAGAGGTACCTCGTGCAGGTATACCTTGCCTAGCAGTATACTCTTTGGGAATGTGTTGGCAGCTACCAAGAGGGACCTCGTGCAGGTATACCTTGCCTAGCAGTATACTCTTTGGGAATGTGTTGGCAGCTACCAAGAGGGACCTCGTGCAGGTATACCTTGCCTAGCAGTATACTCTTTGGGAATGTGTTGGCAGCTACCAAGAGGGACCTCGTGCAGGTATACCTTGCCTAGCAGTATACTACTTAGGAATGTAATAAAAACTATGTACACAGGCGTTGTGTTTGCGAGCCAATGCTTCGTCAAGTGGACTTGTATCCTTCAAGGCTAGAATTACTACGCTGTATAGCAATAATAGTTTGTCTTGAAGAACACAAGTCCACTTGATGATACATCGGCTCGAAAACACGCCTGTTCACGATGTTTTTTTTCTTCCCAAGCTTCTGCCTTCCTCTTCCTGCAGTTTTTTTTTATTAGCGACGTCGTGTATTAGCAGTACGGATGCGACAAAAAAAAGGGGTCAATATCGCGGTGAAGCCGGCTGGAACTAAAGGCTTTGTAGTGGCGCACGGAGGTTGAAAACGTTGCTGAAGTGGTTGCTTGGGTGTGTTGGTACGACCTAGTGAAAAAGAAACAGCGCGAAATACGAGTGGCCAGACAAAGAAGGACACTTACAGCATGCTCTGTATGTGTCCTTCTTTGTCTAGTCTCTCGTCTTTTGCGCTGTTTCTTTTTCACTTTGAAAATGTTCTCGTCAGGTAGCTGGACACTCATGATGGCTTATAGTATGTGTTGCGCATCAACAATGCGGACGACACAAAAACGCAACAAGATATGAAAGTGTTCGCGTCTTTAATATATCATGTTGCTGTGCTGTCTGTTTTTTTTTTTTTTGGTGCTCGCTGCTATGGGCTATAGCGTACAGTGGTGCTATGGAGAGTTGAGTATAGAATGATCTGCAAGCTTTAATTCAGATGTTAACTGAATGTGTGGACGGGGAGCAGATTCGTAGTCAAGAAGTTAATAAACTCAAACGACTCGTTGTCAACTGCAGCTTGTCATGAACTAACTAGGGAGCCGGAAGTCAGACACAGAAGGGAAATTAAGAGGAAAATTTGGTATCCGGATGTAACTCGACTGTCGGGACGTTTTGGAACAGTGGTTAGGTACGACACTGAAGTGATGTTACGGAAGTGGGAAATGCCTTCGAGAATGAGCGGTAACTATGAGCTGGCGTAACGGAAGCTAAAGTGCGGCGCACCGCTAACGAGCTTGTATCGCATGTGCCGCTAACGTAACTCAACGTTGGGCTAGTGGTTCAGGCAAGATCACGTGAAAAGCCTGAAAGACCGAGAAAAAAAAATGTTGCATTTTCAAATAATAGATGCTGGCTCCAGCTGCTGCGGAGTTCAGTAAAAGTATAGGAGCCGAATACTGGGATCAAACTTTGGCGCCGTACTACTCCTAACACTACATCATTTCCCTTCGCCACTGAAAAAAAAGAAAGAATGTGTCTGAAGTGGCATATGAACCCAAGCCCGGAAGACTGGACTGCGACTTGAACGCAGCGTCTTAGGCTGCTGGGCCATCCTTACGGGACGACAAGCCTTCCTGAGTGGAAACAGCCTCAATACTACTTTCTTCCTCTTCACCACTACAAAAAAGGATGTGTCAGGAGTGGGATTCAAACCCACGCCCAGAAGACCGGACTGTGACCTGAACGCAGCAGACCAATCGGCCATCTTGACGGGTGGCAAGATTTTTTTTAATGAAAACAGTCTCAATACTACTTCTTTCCTTTTCACCACTACAGAAAGGGGATGTGCCAGAAGTAAGATTCGAGCCCTCACCCGAAAGACCAGACTGCGACCTGAACGCAGCGCCTTAGACCGCTCGGCCATCCTGACAGGACGGCAAGTCTTCCTGAGCGGAAATAGTCTTGACCATATACTATGGACATGTCACTTCAGCAACAACAACTACAACAACAAAAAAAAAACTGTTGTCAGAAGTGGGATTCGGATCCACTTTGTCACTTTCTTGTCACGTGTTACCTTTGTTCCGCCATACTTTGTGGATGCTTGCGCGATTAGTTTCGATTTCATTGTACGAACTCGACGATGAATACTTTGAACAACAGAAAACTTTTTGTGATTTCTAAAAAAAATAGGTTGGCCCTAGATTGGCACAGGCTATAGCTTGCCCTCAAGTAAATAATTTTCACTCATCACCAGTCTCATGCAAGGTCTGTAGTATTCGAAAATTTCAAAAGAAGTCGCGACACCTGTTTCCTGAAGATCGAGTGACCACGCGGAAACGCAATATCAGTCACGATGTCGCTTTGTGAGCCTAAACGTTGCAGTTCCTCAAATAAACCTTGCCGTTCCTTCTTATGGTGCAGTGAGATAAAGTACCAGAACAATACTGCATCTGGAATAGCACAGAGGCCGCCGGCTTATGCAGGCTTACGTCGCGCTCTGCGCGATTTTTTCAGAGAGCCGGCCCCTGCTTAGTTAAAAACAAACAAACGAAGTGACATTAGATATAATTGACAGTCAAGAGACAGTGAGATTGGGCGTGTTGGTATGACATCATAAAGGGTGCTTACCAGCGCAAACGACAGGGCAGGAGGAGATAGTAGAAGAGACGAGACAGAGCGCTCTGTCTCGTCTCTTCTCCTGTCCCTTCCTGTCCTGTCGTTTGCGCTGGTAAGCACCCTTGAGATACAATTGGCAAGGAGGAAACCGGGTAGAGGAATTGCCTGCATATTATGCAAGGCTAGATCCGCCGGCTACCTATGGCAACCTTATCCTAATCCTAGTCAAGCAAATAATCAAAAAAGTTATTTCATGAGTGGTGGTTAATTGATCGGGATAGTGTCACGTTCACTGCGACGCGGTATTTCCGCCTCGATGTGGAGTTCGTGTGAGAAAATGACAGAAGCTTTACTGTCAAATGATTTTTATGAAAAAAAGAAATCTCCATGGTTGAAAAAAATCCTGTATATATGTCGCTTCTTCAATAAACTTCTATTTGTCAGTGCGTGGTTTCATCGTCGTTTCAATTGAGGTGAACAGAAAGCCTTAGATGCCTCAGCAAATGCGAAAATTCACCGGTGTTCATACACGAACGCGGTCACTGCTCTGACGCGACTTCCTGAGGAACGCCGTGCCACTTTCTCGCTGATGCACCCCGCCAGGCGGCCGTTGCTTGTCATCATGTACCACATATATATCCCGAAGTCTAAAGCACTAATACATTGCCAGTACTGTACTACAGAGCCACTCTTGACCATAGGCTACGGACATGTCCAGCATTAACTAGCAATTCTGGGGTCGCGGCCTCCAATGAAGACCTTTGGATGTGGTGGCACACTGCGCTGCTCAGTTCGGGCCTGGAGAATCAACTCTGGGCGATCCAGCAGGCCAAAGAAGGTGCCGGGAAACACAGTCTCTCCGTTAGCTTCTAGCTGGGAGCGCAGTCCAGCAATCTGCCGGAAGTACTAAATTTTACGTCTTTCTCCCGTATCGGCACAGCCGGCGCCAACCACGAGTGATGAAAAAAAAATCACGTGATTATGGTGCCATACGACGTCTTGATGACGTTACATAACGCCATAATTCGACGTGAGTAAGACGTAATCACATCTCATCGCCGTTTGATCAAACGAGGGCCGATCACGGAGGCCGTGCGAACAAGGTGAGCTGCAGAAAGCTTGGAAATCTTTCGACGCTGGAGGCAGTGCGAAATAACCTTAATGGAGGAAAGCTTTTAATGGGCGGCGGGGTTGGATTAGTACGTCGACAGAGAAGAAAAAGAAAGAAAGATTGACTTAACCTTCGAGTAGACTGTTGAATACATAAGGGACTCTCTGATTTTTTTTTCGTTTGTAGTGCCTGCTCACCAGCGCACCCCATTCTGTACACAGTTCAACGAAGGCACTATTTATTACAGTATTGCACTATTCTACACATACAGTGTGTTACACTATCCTTACACTCCTCTACGAGGGCACTGTTGGTTGTAATATTACTCTATTATAGACATACACTAGTGTACTGCGCTTTGCATGCACTGTTCTACGGAGGGACATGATTTTGAAATGATGTCCCCCTGGTTCTCATGATTCATGATGCAGGCACGAGCCGTCAGTTCGCACGAGCTTGCGGAACTCGCCGAGAGGTGGCACTGCGCGTTGTACGAGACGGCCGCCACGGGAGACTACGAAGACGTTGCCCGGCCGTTCCTCGAACTGGCTCGCCGGGCGAGGACGCTCAAGTCGCGCCGGCAGCTGTTTCCAAACATAGAGCCCGTGTCGCCGCCTCCAGGTGCCGACGGTTCTAAAAGACCTTACAGAGCACGACAGCTCACCAAGTGACTGCTACAGAATGGAACGCGAACTTCCGGATGACAGGCAACGCTTGGTCCGGGAAGGCTTTCGAACCACAAACACAGAGTTATCGCTTGAACGAGCTTCATTCCTCTGTCCGAGACCCAATCGAATGTTTGAGCGATACTTGGCCTGACGTATCTCTATATGAAAAAAAAAATAAACTGGAAGGACCATGGTCTTCTTTCATGACGGTGTTTTTTCAGTGACTGCTGCTGAACACAAACCAATTTAGAGTGCCTGAAAATAATTGAAAGCCTTTATGCGGAGTCAGAGAAGATGCTTTGCATATTTTGTTAGAGATAAATGTTTCCAGGTAACACAGATATACCTGAAGACGCATTTTCCTGTCGTGGTTAGGCCACGAAGACATAAATAGTTCATCTTGGCAAAGACATGTGTGTAGAAATGAAATGGTGTAGACATCAAGGCTGAGGTATTAATTTGCTACGTTCAATACTACGTGGCTGACTTCGTGAAAAGTCATTGGGAAGCTGAGCAATAGACAATTCTAATTTAGGCTGCTTTACCCATTCTGAGTTGAGCTGAAATCGCCTAAACTATAGCGGGTCATATGAGCAGTTAGCCGGGGGAATAGAGTATCCTACTTGGACATGTGCTGCCGTGATCCACAAAGTTGCAAAACAGCATAAATGCACGTTGAATGAAGTCTTTCCATTTACATATCTACCGCTTATTTCACAATTTATCTTGGTTGGGTGACTCAGCTACATACTCCGACAAATGCAGAGTGATTTGGAGGAAGACCAGAAGATACATGGAGAAAAGACGAGCACCGTCTTCTTATCTTTGACTCAGTCGTGCTGCATTTCTCGGAGCATGTAACAACTCACCCAAGTCAAGGTGAGATCTCGGTGAGCTGCAGCCAGTCTCAGTTGAGTAGAACCAAAGTATGGCCAAGTGGTAACTTGTCTACTTTTCTGCAGCGCACAACAGACGATACACGAAGAAGAAAACAAGACCAGCGCTGCTGTAACACATAGAAGATTTATTTAAATGAAACAAATATAGTTAAACTATACACACACACACACACACACACACACACACACACACACACACACACACACACACACACACACACACACACACACACACACACACACACACACACACACAAACACACACACGCGCATGTAAAAATGAGTTGACCTCCCCTCCCGCCCGAAGAAAAACTGTCTACTGCACAGGACGATTGTCGAGTGTCGTCAGACAACAGCGGTACACGATCACTCAATATATCCGAAGCATCTGAGGTGTTAATGTACCACGCTCTCTTATAACTGTGAAGTTATTGCCCTGTTGCCTTGGAGTGACACGCAGCCTGAAGAAATTGGCACCACAGGTAGAAGTTGGCACAAAGTTACGCCGTGCAAGATAGTCGGTTCCTTAGTGGTGTCTTTTATGACGGGACGTAGTGCACTGTGAATCGATACCATGCATCTGGTGGTACAGTCGCGCGCGATCGGAAGGTTATCGCGCGAGCGTCGGCCAAGAAGTATACAACAACGCCACGTCCCAGATACTCTTTCTTGGAGAGCGTGGTATCTCGCAAACTTCACTCGGATGTTTTGCGACTGTTTCTTAAGCTTTTGATACTCCCGCCTTAGGAACAAAGCAGCGCCATGCACTGTTTCAACGCACCTTTCCCAGTGATTCTGTAATGTAATGGGTAGCAAACCGGATATGTTTTCTGGTTAACCTCCCTGCCTTTCCGCAATAAATTTTCTCTCTCTCTCTCTGTAATGACCCGTGGAGATAAGTGCTCACAAAAAACACACTCGATTGCAACGCATGGAAGGCTCAAAATTGAGAAAAAGGATGTAGAGTTTGTTGTAGCGGCGATTGTTGTAGCATGAAAGTGCCAACGAGAAAGAGAAGAATCCGCAGTCTTGATTTTTACAGTTTCATAACGTTCCGCTAGGCCCTTGGTACGTTAAAGAGGGCGACGCTCGTGCGATAACCTTCCATATCGCGCGCGACTGTACACTGAAGCGGCACGTTATTCGAAGAGGTAGTTACTTCGTGCCCCACATGTAAAAATTATACGCCACGCATGACTACGAAATCGGGATTGGAAATTATAACAGCGTTTGTAAAGTATGTTTTTCATTATTCCCTAGAGATTTTTAAGGACCCGTTCGAGGCACGGTCAACGCCCCGCCGCAGTGGTCTAGTGGCTCAGGTACTCGGCTGCTGACCCGCAGGTCACGGGTTCAAATCCCGGCTGCGGCGGCTGCATTTTCGATGGAGGCGGAAATGTTGTAGGCCCGTGTGCTCAGATTTGGGTGCACGTTAAATAACCCCAGGTGGTCGAAATTTCCGGAGCCCTCCACTACGGCGTCTCTCATAATCATATGGTGGTTTTGGGACGCTATACCCCACATATCAATCAATAGAGGCATGGTCAACGTAAAGCGTAGGAAGCAGTTTTAATGTCATATCTCCAACGCACGTTTGAATTCCCTATACAACAAAATTTACCGACCTTGTGTTTTTATCGTTTCTTTTTATCCAAACACAAAGGACGCTAAAAATAGTACCATGACGTAAAAGAAAAAAATAACCGAATTTACTTCTGCTTAAAAGCTTGGGGGATGTCAGGTTCACCAGACCATACACTTGCGAGTAGGGTTCATGGGAGAGCCTAAGGGGCAATGAAACGCCTTCGAGAACCTGGCGAAGTTTTTGAGTGGAATGTTCACTCGTAGCTTGCCGGGTATTTCGCCAAACATGAGCTTACGTTTCGAGACTTCGCTGTTGGGATTGTCACACAGTCCGACGGCGTAGAGGATGAAGAACAGCTGATCCATGCTCAGCTGTCGCCCATTCACTGTAATCTTCAGTTTGTCCGCGCCATCCTGAGACATCAGTGTCTTCATGTACATGTCAAACAACGGCCCAATGACGGCGTTGTCCGCGATGTTATCCTCCAGTCTCAGCCGTGCTTCGAAGTTGTCCCCTATGAGGTCGGCAATGTCGACGTAGTACTGGTCCTGGAAACAGAGCTCTAACTGCGAGAACTTGCTAATCTCGTCGGGGTTCCACCACGTGGCCACTGCTAGGTTGTGGTCCACCGTGGATCCGCGCCTGTCTACGGCGCCAAACATGCCCCGGAAGATCTCGGTGAGGACAAGGGGGAATAGTATTGGCTCAATGTTCTTGGTGATGTCGTTGAGGAAGGCGATGTTCGCGTGTGGAATGAAGAGGACGTTACGACCGAAAAAGTACTCATGTCCCGGTGAAAGAGCCGTGTGATCGTACCTGGCATCGAAGTCCCCTTTCGGAGGTCTGGTCTCCCAGTAGACGTTCATGGTTCCGGCCTGTAGCTCACGGAAGCTTTCCACTAAGTGACTTGTATCCAAGGGCTGAGCGTTGAAGTTGTAGTAGCTCGCGATGTCATTGATGTCGTCCGCGCTACCCAGAAAAACGAGGCGCATGTTCTCGAGCTTGTCGACGCCAATGCCGATGGCCGAACGGTCCAGCCATGACGAAGACGAGAGAAGGCGATCGCTCATGCTGCTCTTGAGCAGAACTTCGAGGCTCGACATGCTGTAGTCGTAATGCTTCAGAAGCAGCGTGGAGTTATTCTTGCTAAAAGTCATGCGGGCAAAGAAGCGCATTCCATGCTTGTACAGACGTTCCAGCAGATGCATACAGGCTTGGCGACGGTCTGGTACAAATTCCAGGTAATTGTCGTGACTCAAGCGCAGAAGAGGGCTCGCGGACTTGGCTAGTAGTGGGGACACATGTACAACCATGCGGTAGCCCACGTAATTCAACAGGGTGACAGTGTCCGTTTCGTTCAGTACGCGGGTGAGGTTGGTGACGTAGTCGTGGTTCATAACGGCCACTGTTTTGTCGATATCAAACGTCTCTATATCTTGAAACAAGATGTTGAGGTATGCTTTCCAGCTTCCACTTTCCCTTGTGGTCGAGCTGTCCGATGCTCTTGATTCTCTCTGCGAATTCCACGAAGCGTGGGGCCGACATGATGTGTTGAAGTTTTGTCTCAAGGGCAGCTATAGCTTCTGATTGCTCTGCAACGTCTTGCGCTTTGCCGAGAAGCGACAGTGCGAGGGCTATCTTTTGAGTGAAGTTGCTCGGTGGTTCATCAGGGTACGCAAGGTTGTACCTCTTCAGCGTTAAGCTGGGCACGTCGATGTGGACCGTGTACATGCGGTCGTCTTCGAAAGGCTTCTGCAGGAACAACCTGACGAACGGGAAGACGCCGAGATCACGGTCAACGAAAGCCGACACTGCGACAATGTTCGAGCCCCGTGGAGCCCTTTTGTAGGGCCAGTTTCCAAGGTTGTACTCTTCGAGAAGACCTCGTAGGGACGTAAGATTCTTATCGTCTTTCTCTTCGGACTGACACTTAGGCAGCAAAGAGATAGCCTGGTGGAGGAATACGCCGGAATATTTGTGGTAAGGCTCTTCATTCTCGCTGAGGTAGTCCCGGAAGAACCTCTCAATGTCCATCATCATCATGCCTACCGTTCGTTCCCTGTACACTCTGGAGTGTAGGTTGAGGCCTTGCGATGCCCATTGGCTGGAGCAGACATGTCCATAGAAGTCTATGCACGGGTTGATGGCCGTGTCGATGCGGCCACGGAGGTAGTTCTCGACCCAGGTGCATACATCACTCTGGCAGCTGGACCGGGTTGAAGGAACTTTCTTTTCATGCAATACCAAGTACCGGCTGTCCGCATCGTGTAGCGGGCTGCTGTCTTCGGTGGTTGTTGCGTTTCCCCGTAGCCGCATGAACGCCGCAGAGTGCTTAAAGAGCGCCATCACGGCATCGCCCGCGTGCATCTTGTAGGCGGCGATGGCCACGCCTGCGATGGTCAGGAGCACGAGCAGGCTACAGATGGCCACGCACGACAGGTGGGTGGACGAGCCAGACACCTGCATCTGCGACCGCGACCATGTTTCGACAGTACCTTCGGAGCCCGATGGTGACGCCGGACCCGGCAGTTCTTCAGACCGGGAGGTAGTCGGGAGAGGCTGCTCTCCGTGGTCGTCCTGCACGTCAACGTCTCGGTCTTCGGCAGCTAGAGACATCGCAGCCTGATGATCACGTCCCGCCGGCCTAGACTTAGGCTTCTTCTTCTGTGGCTCGCGAGGGCGCGCGCCTCCACGGGAAAGTCGAAGATGACGAAGACGCTGTTTTGTGGCATAAAGGAATTTGACTGATGCCCACAAGGGGGCGTGAAAAAGCTTTTTCGAACTTTTTCCTGTGGCTATCTAGTTTTTTTACTTCTTTCACTTTCTTGTTTATATCAAGTTTTCAGATCTGGGTGCACGTTAAAGAACCCCAGGTGGTCGAAATTTCCGGAGCCCTCCACTACGGCGTCTCTCATAATGAAATGGTGGTTTTGGGACGTTAAACCCCACATATCAATCAATCATATCAAGTTTGGTTCTTACACTTCGTCTTTATAATGAACAGTGTCGAAAAAAAAAACAGCAGTAAACAAAACCGCAAGGAATTTTGGAGCCCGCAAACATTAGGACCAGGCAAACTTGTGTACTCTCCATCATTCCCATGGTAGCGGAACGATCGCAGGGCCCGAGTTCCCCCTAGTTACTTTTAGGGAACTCTATACTTTAAGCGACCTACAGGTGGCACAATTCATTGTGTGACACCTTGTTGCTATTTAAATTTTCGTTTACACTCTGTTACACTGAATAACGTGATTACTTACACGACTTTACGCCTGTATATGGTCTTTTTGCGAAGGAAGTTCCGGCACAAGTGTTGCCACGAAAAAAAAAATACTTGAGGAGGGAAATCTTCTGGCGGCCGAGACAGCGGACGAGGGCGGCTCGACAGTGTGACGGAGGAAATTCAGTTTTCGCCGCCGCACGATAGATGACGCTTACAATGTGTTGCCACCATTTACTTGTTCTTCTAAGGGTACGACGAATAAAAGTTGCAATACCGCCTCGCGATGGTAAACTTTCCCTGATCTACCGTAACATTAGTGGGTTCAGGTGACTGGTATTTTGGTTGCAGTTAGCGACGGATACTGCCCTATATACACGATTTCATGAGTGGGTTTCAGCGCCACAGTATTGAGCTGCTAACCTTTGTGTTTAGCATTTTTAACAATTGAACGAACAGTGTCAAGGTAGACGCTCACGCATGAAAATGGCTGAGTTGGTACATGTGATGTTTCATGTGAATTCACGTCGCAATGTACGAAAAAAAGAAACATCGGCTTAGCAGCCCAATATAGTGGCCCCCATACGAAAATGAGATATAGGAAAGAATTTTCGGGCAGACGATGCTTGTTCCTCACCCATCTGTTGCGCGCAAGCGTGCGTCGGTGGCCCTGGGAAGAAAGCTCCCGTTTCGGACGAGCAAGATGTTGCGTATATATATATATATATATATATATATATATATATATATATATATATATATAATATATATATAATTATATATATATATATATATATATATATAAATATATATATATATATATATATATATATATATATATATAATATATTATATAATATATATATATATATATATATATATATATATATATATATATATATATATATCGCCGCGCCCGAAACAAAGAACGAAGACGATGTGCGTGCCAACAGCTCGTGAAAAGGTGGACTGAAGAAGACGACGTGCTTTTGTTTTGCTCGCCTGCTCTTGGCTCCTGCATAAAAACACACGCCGTTGGTTCTTGGACTCAACGTCTCGGTGCACTGCTTTCGTTGAACCGCGACACTGGTGGAGGCGCTGGGTTGCAAGCCTGCCGATGCTCAACACCCCATCTGGGAGCCATTCATCAAGTCCCGACACACAGCCACCTGTTACGACACCAGTGCACCGCTTCAGTCGGCGGTTGCTAGGCCTATCTTCTGAGCTGTCCTCCTTCAATGAACATTCTACCAGGCATTACGTACGCACCTCTACCAATGGCCTCCGCTAGCCAGTCACAGTTGGTCCAAGGGATACAAGGCAGCCTCGTTTCCAATCCAGCCCAGGTAACACTTCTTCAGCCGCTTGTGCCTGATCGCTTCAGTGGTGCCCCACATGAAGTTGTTGAAGATTGGCTTGAGCATTACGAACGCGTTGCCGACATCAACCAGTGGAATGCTCAACAGAAGCTCGCCCGCACGTACTTCACTCTCGATGACGGCGCTCACACGTGGCTTGAGAATCGAGAAGGCCGTATATCCACATAGGATGAGTTTCGTCAGCAGCTGATTGACACCTTTGCTAGCGTCGACCATCGAGAGCGGGCTCAGCAGTTGCTCGTGTTAAGGCTTCAAAAACCTAACGAAACTGTGGCAATGTTTGCTGAAGACGTGACGCGCCTCTGTCATCGGGCTGACCCCAGCATGTCCGAGGAGAAGAAGTTGCGCTACCTTATGCGCGGCGTGAAAGAACAACTGTTCGCTGGACTTGTGCGCAATGCCCCAACTACCGTGGCCGATTTTATAAGAGAAGCCACTGCCATTGAGCGTGCTCTGCACCAAAGATCGAGGCAATATGATCGCTCGTCCACTACCACCCCAATCAACGCCGCTTCATTGACTCTGGACAATCAGGGCTCCCTACGTGACCTGATCAGAGATATTGTCCGAGAAGAAATTCAGAAGCATTGGACCCCTCCAGTGGATACACCAGTGACCACCGTTGCCGCAGTCGTTCGTGATGAACTTAGGCACGCTTTTTCAGCAGCTGATCTCGGCCGCGATCAGCGTCAACTGAGTTACGCCGACGCTGTCCGCCGTCCACCACCCGTCCCGCCTACTACGTCATACTACCAGCCGCCTACAGCCGCACCTTCGTCGCAACCATTGCAGCAGGCTTTCAGACGTCGGCCCATGTCTCCGATGTCTCCATGCCACCAGCCACCACTTGCCGCGCCTTACTCACCACCACGAGAGGACATAAGACGCCCACAATTTTGCAGAACGGACGCTTGGTGCACCGTCGATCGGCGCCCTCTCTGCTTCAACTGTGGTGGTGCCGGCCATATAGCTCGCTATTGTTGGTACCGCGACACATCGCTTCGCCCGTCTCGGCTAGGGTACGACGGTCGCCGTGCCAACGACGACTACATAGTTCGCCATGACGACCCTGGGTTTCGAGGACCTTCAACAACGTGGTCTCCCTATCACGAGTCGCCTCCTAATCGCCAGCCCGATTCCGCCCACAGGTCATGCTCTCCATCCTCTGCTCAGACATCGTCACCGAATCGACGTACTTTTGCTGACCTTCGGGAAACAAGGTCACCCAGCCCTTACCGGGGAAACTAAAGGCGGCGACCTTTCGAGGTAAGGTAGCAGCCCGACCGCAAGACGATAAAAAGTCCCCAGTACTGCCGCTACAGAACGACTCGACGGCGACGAATATTAACAACGACGAAATGGTGCGCGCCGACCTCAATGTAATTATTGATAGAGAGCAAGTGACGGCCTTAGTCGATACGGGTGCTGATTTTTCCATAATAAGTCACAAGCTGGCTGATCATCTTAGATCGCCATGGACAGGACCACATATAAGAACAGCGGGTGGTCAATTGCTGCTCCCTACTGAAAGATGCACAGCAAGAATCAGCATAGGAGATTCTTCTTTCGTCGCGACTTTCATTGTTCTCCCAGAGTGATGCAAAGATTTAATTATAGGAATTGACTTTCTCAGGGAGCATGGCGCAATAATAACATCCCGGACCGCGTGGTTTCATTTTACGAGAGTGCTCGTCTGACTGATCCTACATCACCAGAGCACAAATCCTTTCGTCTCAAAGACCACAATATATTCGTGCCGCCTCGATCATGTATGCTTGTTTCAGTAGCATGTGACGTA